TTTCCTTGCAATATGCATGGCTACTGATGTGGAACTCTCAATATTTTTCAGATGGAGGAGGCTCATTCAACGCCACTTGCAATCATTGACACGCGAGAGGTGGAAGGGCATTATAATTCCTTGGGATTTTTGTAAAAACCGGATAGGAGGCTACTAAGCGATACAGAAGAAAAGCTTGAAAGCTCTCGTTCCTATTGTATGCAAAAATTTCGCTTCAATTCCGATCTCAACAGATACTGCCGGGCCAAAAATGCAGAAAGTCGAAAGTGATGACACGCAGCCCTTCGTCGTTTTCTCTGGTCGAGAAATTTTTTGAGATAGAGCCATTCCTCAACAACCAAAACGTTCGCGTTCTGAAAAGAAACGCCTAGAGTGTAATAAAAAAATGGTTGCTCTCATAAAATGGTTGCTATCAGAATAGTAAAATGATGTTTTCCGAGGAAATCACTGGCAAGGGTAAGACGCTCGTAGTTTCTTCTTTGCAGGCATGAAAATTGACCAAGACCAGTACTCAAACGGCGTACTAATGGATGTAAATGAACACTTATCCGACAACGTTTTCTGAAGATCTCGTAGTCCTTCCAACTGTACGCTTATCCAGCCCACAGAGCCAAGCTTGCCCGCGAGTGGTGTCGACGACAGCTGCCAACTTCATTGGTGAAGAGGGATGGTCATCCTATTCTCCAGAACTTGACTCACTTGACCCCACGAATGGTCCCTGGTTAGAAGAGGACCTGTTGAGTTTGCAGTCCCAGGGTGCTCCCATCCTCCCGCCTGTATTTTAGGTGCTCCCATGCTCCCGCCTGTATTTCACCATATATGAGTGCACTCGGTCCAAGGCAAAATTTTTTGCCCAGGCTCCGCCCCATAACTGGTCGGAGTCCGGTCCTGCCGCCTGTACTCCCACTAATTTTGAACGCTTCAGATCCACGGGGACAGGGTTATTTTTTTCCATTCAAATCCCGCCCACTGGGCCACTGTGGGCGGAGTCCGGTCCCGCCACCCACCATAAATGTTCACATCCTGCCGCCTGTACTCCCCTCAAATTTGAACGCTCTACTTCCACGCGGGCAGAATTTGTGAATTTTCGTTGAAACATTTAATTCGCACAAACCCCTTCCCTGTGGGCAGAGTCCGGTTTTGCCACCCACCACAGGTGTTTTCATCCTGCCGCCTGTACTCCTACCAAATTTGAACCTTTAGGTTCACGGTAAGTCTCCGGAGTTGCGAATCTCCGGTCCAACACACAGACACACACAGACAAACCGCAGACACACTTAGCGCGTAATGTATAATAGGATATAAATCTAATACTGTTTAGCAGCTCAAAACATGTATCCATTCCCCCCTGTCCCCCTGAGTTGAGCAGGAGACAAAGCAGTCGTCTCCAAAACGGCATCTGAGCGGATTCAGAACGGGCCTTTCTATTTTCGACATTTAGACAATAGCCATCACTGATGCCAGCCGCTGACCCATAGCTAATCTCTTTATTTGCTTGAAGTAGTGCTCGGATCACCTGAATTGAGAGCAGACAAGGCATCCCTTGACCAAGGTCATAACAGGGGAGACAGGGAACCCACACATATTTAGAGACCCAGCATGCCCCATCCAAAAGCTCGTGGGTGGCCTGCATGGTGTCCCGGTTCGCCACCTTTGTGTAGAAAGAGGTCACGTCAAGTGATTCTATATCAGAGTTCCTCCTGATTCGAGTCTCTCGCAATTGGTCAAGGAACCTCCTGGTGTTGCTGAGGGGAGGAGATAAATGTTGAGTAATTGGGAAAGCACAAGGTTCAACACCTATGAAATCCTATCGGTAGGAACTCCTCAGCAACTTAATATGAGGTAAACCTGAAAGTTCAAGTGATCGAGGGACGACAGGGTGCTTGGTGAAAGTTTATGTTCTTAACAAGGACATGAAGAACTAAGCGGCTGGAAGTTCACTTTTTAAACGTGTGCCTAGTCCTCTAGGTAACTCTGCACTACGTGCTTTGTCCCACCAAACCCTGTTTAAACGACGTTACGGCCTTTTGTATTCCACCTCCGATGACAGCCTGTAATCACCACATCCCGTAGGTGGGCTCGGGCTTACCCGTGGCTTACTCACGAACTCGCCCCCCCCCCCCCCCCCCCCCCCTTAACCAAAATCTTGATGTTTTCTGAGTTCGATAGACTTCTGAGTTTGGTAAGCCCCCGTTTTTGCGCTGCAGTGATGTTGGAACTGAGTGGCCGGTGGTCATGCCGCCTTGGAATTGAGAAAACAGACGTACAAAGAGGCAGTAATAATTTATGCCGTAGAATGTAACGTCTTGTCTGCGAAATCTGCATCAGTTGCTTCTTGTTGCACGACAAGGCCATTGTAGGACCAGATTACTGTCCCAACATTCCAGACTTGCATGATCTGCTGAAGTAGAACAACTGAACGAACCATATTTGATGCGGGTAATTACCGCGATCGAAATATAGTTCTGCTGAGCACTTTTCATCGCCGTCAGCTAATTTCAGCCTAAAGAAAAATACGAGTAACCAAGGTGGAGGAGAACCGGGTGGATTCAGCAGACTAAAATCACTTCCAAAATGATAATTGAAGCTTCTGACGAGTATTCCTCGTCACATTACTGACTTTTCCTGACCCATCCGAGGACAGATCATTTGGTCTACCTTTTGTATATACGAAGGTCCAATCGTCACCGCATCGTGGCCATTTGAGTACCGGAAACTGAACCTTTCAAATTGCATAGAGCAACTCTAAGCAACTTACAGAACAGCCCACATCAGTATTTTTCGTCCCCCACACTATCTAGTAGGGCGACCCACGCATATTTCGAAGGCTCATCATTCACGAGTGTGTGCACCCTTTGCATCAGCGCCTATCCCGCCCATTTTTCCGCGCCCTAGTTTCGATTCCGTTGACCGCAGCGCGTAAGTCGTCGTCGTAACCTACTAACTTCGCTTTCCTATCATTTTCATCGTATCTATTCGGTAATCAGATGAAATTCCATGTGGCAACAATAGCATCGTGGTACTTTAGGAAGTGTACCACCTATTCAAGCTCTCTCTTTGTCGTTTTCTGACGGAAAATGGCGGACTCGTTGTTTGAGAGGATTCTGGGAAAATCCGACGTTTTTTATCGACATCAGCAATGCAATGAGCCCGATCTTACTGAAAGTGATAAACGAGGAATTCTTGTCGATCTCTTGACTTCTAACAAGGCTCTATTTTTACAGAGGTGATTTGTTTTTCTTTACTACTGATTTTTGAGATTGATTTGCGTAGTTCTAGGTAAATGTCAGACGGTTGCTATTTTCAGATTGCAGGTATGGTCAGTACATGAACGCAAGTGACTGTGCATTGTTCCGCGATGAGTGTGATCCATTAATTCAGTTCATGGTCTCTCAAATAGAAGGACGGAAGTCTGACGCTCAAAATGTAAGTGCTCTTGCTTTGCTCTTTTTTCTTGTCAAAAGTCATTTTCATTTGTCCGACAGTCACTATAATTAGAACATAATATTGCTGAATTATAGATGAAGAAGAGGCGTTATTTGATGCTGCAGAAGTTGAAAGAGAAGGGAAAATACTTTTCTGACGAGAAGATGAGAGAGCGCGAGCCATATCTGTTTGATGTCATGGTGGGGAAATTTATGGAAGCAAAAGGTTTGCTTCATTTTTTCTGCGTAGATTTTATCTACTCGTAGTTCGGGTCAGCTTTCGAAAGAGTTGTGTAGTGGATTAACATTTCCTTTTCGATGAGAACTCCCTAAAATACAAGGATTGTAGTAATACTGAAGCTTTTTCATGATTCTTTTTTTACAAGAGAATGATAGTGTAAAGTATGAGTAGTATTGGGTTGTTTGTTCTATAATACTTATTTGAAATAGACGTAGATTAAGTCCGAATAATACTAGATTTAAGAATGATTTTGGTCTCTTATCCATTAAGCACTTGTAGCAAATAAATTGAGGGTGTAGAATCAGAAATAGATTGGTTTACTATGCTCCAACTTTTTCCGTGTTGGATACCTGTGCTAACTGGAAAGCTGACCGTGACAATGTTCATCCTACTTTTTATTAGCTCTTACGTCAAGATCCTTATTGAATATACTACCTCTTATGTCAGCAATGCAGTCTAGAAGTGTGGATCAGTTGATATTGGTATTGTGTTAACTTTGTTATGATTTCATATGAATTCAGATCAAATTAACCTACGTCCCTACGTTTCTCGTGAGGAATGCCCCCAAGGAGGGTGGGCCAATATGCTTTGCCAATTTGAATCTTCTAGAGAAATCGCACAACGGCGTAACGAACACCACACAGAGTGGCACAGAGATGTTGGGGTGAGGCTCACTTTGCTTCATTTGTAAGGAAGAAATATCTTCAGAATGAAGATTTTCCTATAGATAGTTTTATTTTGTTCAAGACTTCTTCTAAGGTGAATTTTTCTTCCGTCATCTTTTGTAATGCTCTGTTACAGCAGTCACAAAAAGCTGAACATTTGTCACGGATGGAGGCCCATGTTAGCAATATGTTGTCTTCTCAAGAGGATGAACTGGAAGAAGGAGAAGAAGGTCTAGAGAACGATTTTGATGAAATGCGAGAAGAGTTGAACAGAATGAGTCAGGAGGTGAATTATGTCTATTTATTGTATGTGAATGGCTAACTAAATTTTCCTGCCAGCAAAAGGTGAAACATTTGTTAGCTTGAAAGAGCATTTTGATTTAGGACGCAGAAATGCTTGAAGATGGCATGGACGACTCACCAGAAATACTGCGTCGAGAATTTCAGTTGTATATGGAAGAGCGGTTTCTGGCTGGGCATGATTCCAGGTAATTGAATATGTCTTTGGAGTTTCGTTTCGAGAGCATAGCTCGAGTTATTGAACTTATTGCGGATCGCTGAATGTGTCTTTCTATTATTATGGAATTTAGTTAAACCGAGTCTTCACCACACATCGTTTTCAAACGGCCGGTGAAACATTTTATTCGTACAACTAATTAGTTGTTTCGAGCAACTCCATAAGTGCCCAACAAACCCCTTCAGAAACTACCTAGAAAACCTTTTATAAAATCGGAGGTGCGCAGTTTGGTGTTCATTTTGCGACAGTGGTTGGTTATACGTCTTCATTATTGATTACCATGCATAAGCACCTCTGGTTCTGTTTGTGCATCTTCTCACACGACAAACAGCTGAAAACAATAGCTTAAAGGGTGACGGCAACGGCATCCAATTCACGATTACCGGTATCCTCAGGCTGCCGCTTTGCACGTGAAGACACCTGTTCCGTGGAGCTCGATCGATATGGACCGCCTAAAGGAATAGAACATCAGAAGACTGGTTCCTTCTGAAAAATTTTGCTATTAACAGGCGAGAAATAGAGCAGAATAGCGGTATATTCACAGTTTGTGAATGCTTCCAGTTTCTTCAATTCAAAGAGGGTTTCGCTTCCAATTTGCTTGCTCTCTTCGATCCTATTGCTTTTTTCGATTGTCATTCCCTCCTGTAATCAATATACTATAAGTTATTTCTTTACTTATTTCGTGATTAGAGATGAATTGCACCCGTAGTGCAGAGAAACAAATAAATTTCTGTTGAGTCGTCCGTTCAACAGTGTCGTAGAATCACCTCAAGCAAGAGTATCATTACTGGAATTCACGGCTTATGTTACAATAATCTTATAAATGTTAAAAAATGTTTATAAAAAGCTGATTGGGAGCATTGTAATGCAAGAGGTGTTGGATACGGCATTTGTATTGACAGTGTAGCTTCGGCATTAAATATGTTATATGGGGTTCGGCGGAAATTAGATACAAGATGATACAAAGGAAATGGGAAGATCCACTTCAGAAGGAACGGTGTCAAAGAAATACGGTTTTCCTCCTGAGAATGAAATACATCAAAGAATGTTGACGAAGATCTATATATTCGATCTGCCAGAAGGTGACGGTTCCTCGCAGACACTGCCAAGTGTGGCGTTGGCGTCGGGTGACCAAAGTAAACACAAAGACAAGCAATAAAGTCTGGTAAAAATACCCATGATGGAAGGTTTGTAATATTTACTACATTCCCTGTGATTCCTCACAGACCGCTACCTCTGGTGCTAGGGACGCTGGAAACTATCACTGCCATTTCCATTTCTGATATGGGCGATAACGTTCTCTACGAGTATTAGTAAAAGCAGGGGAGGTAATGAGCTATGACTGCTACATCATTGTACTATTGTTACCTTTGTTATTAGAAAAACCAGCGAACACCATTCTCCAATTAAAACTGGTAGATAGTAGTAGTCATTAATGTTGCTCTTTACTTTCATATGGTGTGGCCGAGTTCCTACGATAAACATTTCCCCTTTCAGTGCTGTATGTTCAGATTTCTGGCAACAAAACTCCGCACCGCAATATTACTTCTTTTCTGGTTTTATGACGTTTGCATCCTCAGCGGTGATTTCATTCCTCCTTTATTGCTAGTCGTGTAGGCTGCAATTGTTTGTGAACTTAGATGTAAACGCAGTTGCTTAATGCGCCATGTTGCTATGTAATAGCTTTTATGCTATCAATGCCCATCACGTTCAAGTTTCCGTAGTGTGAACTATCCGTATTGTGTGTCTGGGGTTACTATTTTGTACTTTATCGAAGAGAAAGCGGTTAAAGGACTAAGTTTAATTTTTACGGTAAAAATGTTTTTTAAAGTGGGCTATTTATTTTTACTAGTTACTATCACAGGTATTTCGACTACGATACCGTTGACAACGATATGTCTTTGGACGAGAGTGACGAAATTCATGAGCGCGACATGGAGGAGAAATGGTTCGACGCTGATGACGAATAATTGATTGGAATATTGTCCTTTCTTCATCTTTGTTTGTTCGTCCCCAAGTTTTTACACATTGTTTTTGCACTCTTTGATTTCATTGCATAAATGGTTAAGTTGAGGTTGTTTGTTATTTCTTAGCTAGCGTTTGATCGCTTCGATGCCATTTCCTCTTGATTATTTGCTTTTAGTACTCAATTCATTGTAGCAGGGCCAGCCTTTTGTGTCGAGACCTTGATTGGCGGTATTATGATGACGAAACCAATCGAAGTCCGATGGTATTACCATGGTCCGGATAATGAGATTTATGGTATGTTTTATGTTTCTCATGTAAACAAGTTGTAGATCTTTGTATGGTCAGTTGAGCATTTTTGTGAAAGGTAATTTTTTTGGGAATTCAATCCCTCTGACCAAACCACGCTTTATGACGTGCCGCACTTTTTCACTTGTTACTTTTTGTTGAATTTCATTTTTTTCTCAAAATGTTTTTGTATTAG